GGTGTCAACATACTTTATATACAACCAGAGATATGAAAAATTGTGCTGTATATGTGTAATAAGAATTGTAATGCATTCTGCTGTCATTTATTTAAAAAAAAATCAATTAAAAATATTTTTTAAAAAATCACCACAATGGGTACCAAGTTTCCAACATGTGATACCTTTGGCAAAAACATTCAAACCATATCCAGACCCTAGCAGGCCCTCCACTTTCTCATACATTTCCAATCCATGCACTTCTGATACCCTTTACCTTGATCTATTTTTTGACATCCACAGCATATTTTACCTTCTGTTATATACTCTATAGTTTACTGCTTCACCATGTTTACTATTTTCTGTTGACTCATCTACACCAGAATGAAATATTAGTTGATATATTCCCCCACTTTTGTATGATGCTTGGCATATTATAGGTGCTAAACAGATCTTTTTGGAATGATGAGATGAATAAGTAAGTGAGGAAATGAGTATTCCTCATACTCACCTAAGATTAGTCAAGAGATATTTTACAAATAAGGTCATTGAAACTCAAGGAAGCTAGGTAACATCAACATGTCAGAAATCCTCTAAGAGCTAAAATGAAAAGAGAATCCTCTGAACCGGATCTTTTCTACTTTATCACACATCATCACATGTACTTTGTAAAAATATAAGTATTCCATCAAATGCTATGCATTTATAATGTTTATTTCCCTTTCGTCATGCTCTTAGTCAATAGTTTTTCTTTTTTTTAATACACGACAGCAGAATGCATTACAATTCTTATTACACATATAGAGTACAACTTTTCATATCTTTATATATAGAGTATGTTCACACCAATTCATGTCTTTATTCATGTACTTTGCTTTTATTCATTAGAATTCTTATTATACATATATGCCACAATTTTTCATATCTCTGTTTATATATAAAGTACATGTATGAAAGACACCCAATTCCTGTCTTCATACATGTACTTTGGACAATAATGTCCATCACATTCCACCATCCTTGCTAATCCCCTGCCCCCTCCCTTTCCCTACCCCCCTCTTCCCTATCTAGAATTCATCTATTCCTCCCATGCTCCCCCTCCCTACCCCACAATGAGTCAGCCTCCTGGTTACCTACACCGTCCTGAGGGCAGAATAGCCAATAGATTTTCAATGAACCTCTTAGAACACTGTAACTCAAATGACTGTATTGTAGAATAACACACTTAAAATAAATGATATGAGATGTATTTGTTTGGACTCTGACCGCAGAGTTATAGAAACAAACAAATTTGAGCTAGCTCAAGTCAAAAAATTAATTTAAAAATAAATAATTAAAGGGTTATTGATCTCCTGGAAGCCACACAAAAAAAGGAAAGATAAATGAGTGGGAACAGGAGGCAGATTATTTTAAATAGTTTCCACTCTACTTTCCATACGTCTTTTTCATCCTTTCTCTACAGTTTACAAATATTTGCTCCCTGTGTCTGTAGGAGACAAGGAGAAGATGCTCCATCCATCACTCTTTAAACCTGAGCAAGGCTGCGGTTTGCTTGTCCTTAAGTTTTGAGCCCTGTTTAGGTAAAATCTTTCTCCTGATCCAATCAACAATAGCCAGGAATGAGGACTCAGTGTGTAAATGATGATAGAGGACACTTTGCTGATAGGGGGATGGGGAGAGCAGGGTACACCCCAGAGAAATCAGCTCAGCACACAACCCAAAAGTGGTTGACCGTAGAATAAGACAGTAGAAGAGAGAAAGCACACTATTCTGTCGAACAAGCTAAGTTGAAATTCCTATTTCTTATCTTTTATCTGTGTAAGTTCAAGGTCGTTACTGATGAGAAAGCCTATGTGACTCTTCTCATACTCAAATAATTATTGTCCTTTTGCTCTCATTTTTTTCTCCACTATGGGGGCTAATTACTGTTACTTAATAATAGGAAAGACCAGAGAGAAAAAAAAACAGAAAACGGAGAGTTGGGGTCAGGAAGAGGAGAGAGAATATCAGAGAGCCAGGAGTTCTGCATTATAATCTCACTTCTGTCACTGGGAAACAAATGCCTTGGGCAAGTTCATTCTCTGATCTCTGTTGTCTTGATTGTCCAGTGAGGAATGACAATCAATAGCTTTCCAAACTAGCATGATCAGTGTAATGAGCTGGGAGCATTTTCAAAATGCAGATTCCCCTGACTTACCCACGAATATTCTGATTTATAAGACTTTGCATAACCCAGTGTTATGATTTGGATATGAGGTATTCCCCAAAACTCCTGTGTTGATTTAGGAATACTCAGAGGTGAAATTATTAGATTCTTGGAGCTGTAACCTTATCAGTCCATCCTAGTTAGAATGGACTGGGTAGTAATGTAAGTAGGTGGGATGTGTCTACAGGAGGTGGGTCACGGGGGGATGTGCTCTGGAAGAGTTCATTTTTTTCCTGGAAGGTCTCCTCCCCTCCCCTCATCCCCCCACCCACCCTGCTTCCTGGCCACCATAAACAAAGCAGTGCTCCTCCACCACACCCTTTCACCAGGATGCTCTGCCTCAACTCAGGCTCAGAGCACCGGAGTCATCTGACCATGGACTGAACCTCTGAAACTATGAGCCAAAAGAAACTTCCCTCCTCTAAGTTGTTCTTATTAGGTATCTTGGTCATAGTGATGAAAACCTAACCAACACCAGGTGTGATAGCAGACATCTGTACTCCCAGCTACTCAGGAGGCTGAGGCAGGAGGATTATTTGGAGCCAACCTAGACAACATAGAAAGAAAGACTCTGTCTCCAAAAACAGTACACACACACACACACATACACACACACACAGAGAGATATTACATGAAGCTCTCTATTTTGTACTTCCAAGCAGCTTTCTGGATGATTATGATGACCAACTATATATGGAAACCACAAGACTAGAAGATATTTAAGGCCGCATTTAGTGTTTAAAATATTCGTTTGCCTAATAATCATCTCACTTAGAAGATACTCTGATTGTAATTAAATTTATTTCTTACTTATGCTTAATTGTCATCTTCAGGAGTTACCTAATATTTCCATTTTGTTTTTACTGAAACGTAAGAACACTATTTAGCACAAAATAGATTCTCAATAAACATTTATGAGGGCTGGGGTTGCGGCTCAGCAGTAGAGCGCTCACCTAGCACATGCAAGGTTCTGGGTTCAATCCTCAGCACCACATAAAAGTAAATTAAGAAGAAGAAGAAGAAGAAGAAGAAGAAGAAGAAGAAGAAGAAGAAGAAGAAGAAAAAGAAGTAAATAAATAAAATAAAGGTTAAAAAAGAAAAAATAGATGCAGTCATTGCCTTTTCAAACAAAATAAGCTTTTATGTATGGATAAGTAGTTAGTTCTATATGTTTTCCAAATGAACTCTCATATATTATCCCTTGAGTATCTTTGTCCTCACAAATATGGGAAAGGAATTCCTTTTGGATTCTGTCCAGTTTACTGGAACATTCAGAACACCTAATGTGATAATAGTATATAAATCAAAGTTCATAATCTCTAAATTATTCCTGAAAGTTTATGATGGTGGAATATCATTTTAAAGCATAGATAAATCAGATTTATGTGAAAGTGTAATATTGTCAATGCGCTTTGTTAAGTGCTGTGCAGATTCGTGATGCTGTTGTGTTACTATTTTTGCATTTCTCCATCCACAGCATTCTAATATCTCTGAGCTTTATCAGTATCAAAATAGTGCTTTAAATTGTTCTGCAGAGGATTTTACTGGTGCTGAAATTTTTGAATGTCCAGTATGTTTTTAGGAAACTAAAGGTCTTGGTTTCTAAAGGCCTGGATTTCTAGACATCGTACCTGTGCCTACCAACTATACAAAACTGATCAAGCCAAGTCACATCCCCTCAAATTTCTCTTCTATATTATGAGTTCTACATTCTTTTAGACACTATATTTTCTCTTTTTTACAGTACTGGGAATTGAACTCACTCTATCACTAACCTATATCCCCAGCCCTTTTTAATTTTTTTATTTTAAAACAGTCTTGCTAAATTGCCCAGACCAGCCTTAAACACGCGATCCTCCTGCCTGAGACTCCCAAGTCACTGAGATTATAGGCATGCCTCACTGCCCCCAGCCCTGCATTGTAATTCTCACAAATAATTAAGAGGTTAAAAAATTGAAATTGGTATTCTCATTTCTGAATCTGATTACATCTCTGCTGATCACTTAGATTCACCATTTTTCTCATTCTCTTCTGAGAATATTTTTATATGCTTCCTTGGTCCACAAAATTATATTGCTGAAAAAAAATAGAAGCAGATCTCTATAGACTCCTACATTTTCCAACACCAGATCATGTGTGTGTATGACACCAGTCCTTTTCTCTGACCTTTCAGAAAGGAAAATCACAGCTCAACATATAGCATGTGATGTGATCTGAAATGCTTTCCTCTCCCACTACTTTGGGCCCAGGTATGGGTTCCATTTTGTCTCTTTCCTATGAAAGCATCATTAATAATTAGGAGTAATGGTTTGGCTTGGGTATCAGGAAGCCCACAGAAGCATATCTGGGATTACCGTACCATGATTGGATCCTTCTTTGATGTTGAAAGAATCACCCTAGAAAGAACGATATTTTTAGTCCTTTTACAGTCATGGTGATTTAGTTGCAGTGGTGATAAAACAAATAATGCACAGAATATGAATACAATCTTGTATTTATGCTGAATATTATAAAAATCGTATCATTGATGTTTGTATTTTATTGCTTTTGAAATAGTAGTAGTAGAAAGATATTTTGTGAATATCAAACATTTATTACAGTGACTTTTTAGATTTTTTGTGGTTGATTTTATTTTCTGAAAAATATAAAAATATAAAATATGGCATCATGTAATAACAGCTGCCGTGTAAATTTTCTATGCAACTCATTACTCATCATTGAATTTAATGTCTGCTAATGTAATTCTTGTGAGACCATTCTTAACTTTATTTCCAGGTTAGTCATTATATGTAATCATTGCATTGTTATCTTTCAGATTATTTGAATAAAACATACCAAAAGTGACATCAGATTAAAAAAAAATCCTGCACTTTGGATCTTTTTCTGCTTTGGAAGCAAGAAAAATGGAAAATTAATAAACAAAGGTAAAACATTCCTTTTTCCCTTATATAACACATTTTACTGCTTTCTCATCAGTCATTTCTTTCTTTGGGGAAAAAAACTAAAAAAAGTAGGTGGTGTTTTTTGAACAAAAATATTTCTACGTTGGAATTCCACACATATTACAGGTTGCTGAGCTTAAAGTTTGTTTTTTTTTATTTTTTTAAAAACTCCTTGGTTACATGCATGGACTCTGGACCTGATGTAGTTTGTGTGTTTAATCTCTGTTACTGTTGCTAACCTAGAATAACATATCAGTCAAATGCCATTTTCATGAATCTGTGAACCGAACTATTATATGTTATGTTAGGCACAGAATTATGAAAGTAGAAAATATAATATCTGCTTTATTTATATATTTATTGATTAGCATGTTGTACAGAATTTGCAAACAGACATGCTCACCATGATCTAAATATGTTAAGGAAGACAATGGAAACACTGGAGTCCATGCTTCAATCTCCACTCATGGAAGGGGAAGAAGAGCAAGTATTAACCATGTAGAAAAAAAGATAGTACAAAAATGACATCACATCAGAAGGGAACTGATAATGCAGAATACATTGATACGTTATTGTCTTTGGGTTACTTGTCCACCAGTCAATGACTTGAATATAGCCGTGTAATGGGACGCTGATCCCAAACATAAAGGTTTTGAAGCAAGAAAAGTGAGTCAGTAAAGAAGCACAGGTCAAAATATGGGTACATGAATAAGTCCACCATTGTGGACCCTGGGAATTTGGTTCCTAGTAGGCTTCCCAAGATGGGTATAGATACTTTCTGGAATTTCTGCCTGGAGGAGGTGCTACAAGAGTTTTATACACTGACTCTTTCCTGCTGGTTGTGAATGGCCATCAGAGGCATGAGTTTCCCAATCTAGAGTGCTCTGCTGCCACATGATGCAGGAAGCACATACCCAGTTGTCCCTTGAGGTGGACACTAGGAAGACAAGGATAATCCAAGCAGGCATAGGAATATCTGTCCCTACAGCGATGGGCTACAATCACAAGTGGGCCCAGGGACTTGAGGCAGACAACAACTGGTAAATGTTATGGTTCCTTTTACTTTATTTTAAAACATAGCATTTTCTTCCTAAGTTAAATACCTCCATAAAGAACATTTTTGTGTGTTTTAAAGTTATACCCAAGTGTCATGGAACCAGAGTAAATTCTGTCTCAAAAGTATCTCTTTCATCAATAAATTTTCTCTGTTCAGAATGAGACATGCATCTTGGTTCACAAGTATATTTTTTAAATTATATAATAAGATTTGAAGTATGGTAAACATTTTGGAATAGTTAGAAATACTATAACAAAATTTCACAGTACCAGTATTTATTAGTCACTGTCTATTGTTTCATATACAAGAAAGTGTCTGTGGATAGATCTTAAAGCAGTACCATGGTATTTCCTATGTGGAAACTATAAGAAAAGAACTGAATGAAGGAAATAAAGAGAAAAGAGAGGCAGCTCAACAGGAACATAGGTTCATTAGAGACAAACCTGCGGAGGGAAGGCCCACTGAAGACTTAGACCTGTCTTATCCTTACAGCCTAGGGAAGTTGTAAGGGATGAGGAAGTTGGGGAATTTTTGCAGTTAGGCCATTGCTAGGGGGTCATCAGAAAAGGGTCCTTGGGTTTGTCAGAGAAGGGTCCTTGTAATTGTCACCTCTCTTCTTTGAGGCAGTCACTGTACCTTGTCCAACCAGGTGTTTTTCAGGATTTCAGTCTCAGATAAAATTTTCCCTTCTTTGTATGACAATGGAGTCTGGGGATTAGGTCAGGCTGAGTCAGAGTGACTGTGAGGTGACTGTTGTGCTAGGATAGAGGAGATATTTCAAAATGGCGCTGCCTGTGTCAAATTCTTCTGATCATAAACAACCCTGTAGGCCATGGCATTATTTTTGTGAAAAGCATGACTGACATTGAGTCTAGTTGACATAATGTTAGACGGATGGATGGTCAGCTAGCAAAACAGTACCTTAGAGTGAATCAAAGTATGCTTTTTTTTGTTTTTTGGCTTTAGGTTTTTTATTTCTGTGTGAGAACATTAACAGATTAAAGTTGGGGGTAGGCTGTTTTGACCTAAAACATCACATATTCAGAAGAACAATATTATCTGTGAACTCTAAGCAGCATCTATTAAAAATAAAACAGACATCAACAAACATCTGAACTAATACATATTAGCATGCAATTTTCTAGTAAAAGAAATGAAATTGGAGGGGGAGCAGAAAATGGTAGAGCAGGGAAACAGGGAGGTTATGGCAGATGGCAAGATGGAAATACCAAAAAAGTGGACACAATCAAACCATAGGGTAAAGACAAACCATATTCTGAGCACAGAATGCTCACTGGGTGAATGACCCATCAATTTGAGACATGATGAATTCCAGAATCACCAACAAAGGGTGAATTTACTGTGTCTTCTCACTTTAACAGTATAATCGCCTCTTTAATTGGCTTCTCTTTGTCTCCAGAGTCGACCTGGACAAGAGCTAGGATCATGTCTGCTTTTTGCTCAGAAAGTATTCTCAGATTTAACCAATTCATTGTTGTCCAAACTCCTAAACCAGATACTCAAAGCCTGCCACTCAAGTTTTCTAACATTTCTTATCCTTGACTTCACTTACAAGTAGCCTATCCCATTGTCTAGAAATGTCATCTCCGTGATTTATCAAGCTTTCAATTGATTTTGTGGATTTATGATTCTCAAACACGATTGGATCTAAGATCAGGTCCAAGAATTTGTGTTTCTGTCAAGTTCTCAGGTGATGCTGATCTTGCTGGTCCAAAGACTTGACTTGGAGAATCACACTGTACAAAAAATTATCCCCACTGGCACTATAATGTCTGCATTACAGTTGGAATCAAAGAGAGTACAATAAAAGACGTCCTTACCAGCATCACCGTCGTGGGGAGTTGTGTTAGTTTACAAATGGGATCTGTGTCTGATAGTCAAAAACCATCTTAATATCATAAAATTCCCAACAATAAGATTTTTGATACATTTTTATATCTCCCACTGCATTAAAGAGTTTGGCGATCCATAAATATTTGTTGAGTGGATGAATAGGTGGAGGGGGGCTTGGGAGTGAAAGAAATATGGACAGGTTTAGCAACTCATTTCAGCAAGAAAATTAACTCCTTATAAAGAAACTTGCCTGGCATGTGGTAATAGAGAAAGACTGACTTCCTTAACATGGAAACCTTCTCATAAGACCATCCTCAATATATAAGACATTTTATAAGGTGGACCAAGTCTATTCAAAACCTAAGTAGCTGATATCTATAGCATTGTGCTCTTTAATAAGCAGAGCTTTGCACAAAAGACTTTTTGCTATTTGATTGAGTACAATGGGAGAAATGTCATTTTTATCAAGACACATTGTACATTTTATTTTATAAAAGAGCCACGGGATATGTGAAACCAGGAAATCACATCAATTTAATAAATTCCTTTGCAAATGTCTCTTCCTTGAGTTTAAATTTTGCAGCTGCAGCATAATTTGAATGTTTATTCACATTTAGGACAATTGTGCTTTCTGGGTTTTTTTTTTTTTTTTTTTTTTTTTTGCTTTCTTGCATTCAAATGTGTTCATGTATCAATGTTGCACATTTTCTCTCTGCATCTTTTATCTGCATACATCATCCCATGATTGGCTTGGTAAATTTATCCTACTTTTCTTGCTAAAATAACTGTTCCTGCTGTTTTCTGCCTACTCTTTGATTTATTCCAGAAATTGGGCTTAATGCCTACTTTTAGAGCTCAGTGTGAAATTTATTCTGTATGTTTTTATCCCGAATTCCCACATTTTTTTTTCTGTTATGTATTCTGTTGTAGAGTCAACTTCAAATTGTACCCATGAAAAATCTATAATTATATATTGGCATAAATAATCACAATGGATGGTTAACAGAAACGCTTGAAATTTTATTTTTATAAATTTATTTCATAATTTACTTCGATAATAGAAAATTAAAATTTTCATTTATTTTATGGTAGGCCTAATATTAAAGCTTAAATTAAAAGTCCTTGTCCCAACTTTATCATGACCTTGATATATGAACTAAGCTGAGTCCCTATGGCTCAGTTACCTCGGTTAGAAAAATAAGGGTTTGGCCTGCAGAGGCCTGCTGAGAACTGGAATTCTAAAAGACAAATATGTCTGGAAGTCTGTGGTGCAAGGTGGTTTTTCATGGATATAAGCCAGGGCCTTGGAACTCATCTCTTCTTAAAATTGAAGGTGTTGCTGGGTGCAGTGCTGCACACCTGTAATCTCAGCATCCTAGCAGGCTAAGACGAGAGGATCATGAGTTCAAAGCCAGCCTCAGCAACGATGAGGCGCTAAGCTACTCAGTGTGACCCTGTTCTCTAAATAAAATACAATGTAGGGCTGGGGATGTGGCTCAGTGGTCAAGTGCCCTGAGTTCAATCCTCAGTACCCACCCACCCCTCCCCCCAAAAAACTGAAGGTGTTGGTGGGCACCAGGGTGCATGCCTATATTCTTAGGAGCTTGGAAGGCTGAAGCAAGAGGATGGCAATTTCTAGACCACTTCAATAACCTAGAAAAACTCTTGTGTCAAAAATAACATAAGGGCTGGGGTTGTGGCTCAGTGGTAGAGCACTTGCCTGGCAAGTATGAGGCACTGGATTTGATCCTCAGCACCACATAGAAAAATAAATAAAGCTATCTATAATTAAAAATATTTTTTTAAATAATAAAAACATAAAAGGGGGTGGAGATGCAACTCAGTGATATAGAACCTCTGGATTCAGTCCCCAGTATCAAAAAAAGGTGAAGGTGTTCATACCCAAGATAAAATCGGGTTCTAGTTGGCCACTGGATATACTTATGTGTACAAAACAAAATAAAAAAATAACCAGTGACTCCTGGTGGCAAATGAAACAGAGCCAGTCATCCTGGAAAGGTACCTCATGCCCTTAGAAAACAGTGGCATGGTTCCTGTAACGTGTCGAACA